AGGAATGAGTCAATTCTTTTCTTTTCAATTCTCTAGGTCCTCCTAGTGACTAAGGGCCAACGAATCGTTAGTCATCCAACAATGTACATTTTTAATAAACTTATTTTATTATAAGTCTTACGAGTTTTCCCGTGACATGTTCGTCGTCATGGGCTAGGCACTTAGCTACCGTTTCTCGAAAGCACTTCACAGCGACAGGCAAGTCGACGTAGACTCGCGTGCATACCGGGTGTCCTCGTTACAAAGTTACCTCGCTTTCCTGTCTGTTCGCGAGGTGTAAATTCGTGGACGTAAATCTTTTATTTCCGGGAGATGGTGAACGGTTCGAGCGTCGAAACGAGTCTTCCTTCTACGCGTTCGCGACGAAAATATTTATCCGTTCCCGTCGCCTCCGCGCGTTCCCTCTTGGAGGGTCTCGCGCGAGAAGCGGCTAGCCGTCGACGCGTTTTTCGCAGGAACGTCCGAGTCCTAATCCGCTTGGCGAACTTTCCGCGTAAATAAATTTTTAACGAGATACACGCGCGGTTTCGGGTGCAGGTCGCGGCCTCGTACGAGTTTCACGACTCGACGGCTGCTTATTTCTGGTAATTAACTCCTCTACATGCAGCCACTTGTTCCCGGGAGTTGAACCGACGCGCTTACAACACCGTTTTTGCCGCATGAAATTTCTTCGCCGCCGGTTTTTTCCTTTCTTTCCCGTGGCCGTGGGCCCTGTCGACCAGCGCCGCGCGATTTTACAACGAAATCCTTTCAACGTAATCGTTCATACTTCGCCGCCGGACCGTGAGCCCGAGCGAACCGGTAGTTTGACGAATTTATGATTTTTTTTTCACGACCAGTTGCCGGCAGCCGCGAATTTCCAGCAATAAACCTGATTGCGGGTCGGTGTTACCCTTTCGCCGTTATTATTTCGAAAAAATTTTTCCAAACTTCCAAACTCCCCTCTCGCCGCGCTTTATCGAAAAAGGACGAAGGGCGTGACTTGGGAAGACCATTAAGCAAATGGAGCAAGAGACAGGTTGTACCCGGGCAACTGGAGATTGATTGTTTAGACACCGACAAGGGTGAAGAGAGCAGCGGAGAGCGTGGCTACGGAGAGGGTATTTAAGAGAGTGATTAGAGGAAAGCCTTGTTGTGAAGGAGTGACAGGGGAAAAGAAAACACGGGGCCAAGATTACAAGACACGTTCGAACAAACACGCCAGTCTTCGTAATTCAAGTTAGTCCCTTCGTAGTTAGTAAAAATAAAGCATGAGATTGGACAGACCACTCGCGTGTCTCGTGACTCAACCGAAACCGTGACACCGGGTGCTCTGTGTTCCCGAGAGTCGAGGAAAATCGAATTACTCGTCGACTCGAATCCGTCGAGTCGTCGTCCGCTTGGAATCACGGCGAAAGTCGAGGAATAACGAGTTTCCACGAACCGCGGAACCCCATGCGAGCTTGTCAGAGGAGAAAAGCTGCGTTAACCCTCGACCGAACGCGAATAAAACAAATCGATCGACATTCTCGAACGATTACGATCGTTTACACGCCGATACCGGCTCCCCTTCTCGCGTCCTATCGGCGAAGGATCCCGCAGGAACAACGAAGGGACTCGGTGAGGACCGGTGGCGCGGTAGGCAGGTTCGATCCCCGTATTTATAGACATCCTGGAAAAGAGCAGAGAAACGAGAGAAGAAGAAGTAAGTTATGCGACGTTTGGCCCGCCCCAGCCACTCATTCGGCGACCATAACTCTCACGGAGTGACAGCTCCGAACGGAAGGGTGTGTGCCGCCCTCCGTCCGCGAGAAGAGGGAAATTGAATGCCTTCGCAACCCCTCCTCGCGACTTCTCTCTTTTCCACGCCATCTGGTCCTCCTTCTTCCTCTCTTAACACCGTCACTGTCAAATTGATAACCGCTTCTTTCGAACCGCCGCGCCGGTTAGACGTCTCCTCCAGGAACTCCGTCAGCTTCCGGGGAAGTGGAGGAATGCTCGCGGGAGAAAGCAGACACCCTCTACGAGGGTATTACGCTCGCGGGACAAGTTGATTTCGACGATTTAAATAATTTATGCGACACTTCTAAGTCCGGAGAGTGGCGACGAGAACGAGAGGAGTGGTCGCGAGCGAATCGAGAGCGAGGATTTGTTGCTCCAGGGTCATCCGCGGTGGGGAAGATATTAAGCGAATTAGGCGAAGAGGGGTGGCGTAGGTTTTCGGTGGACGGAGGAATGGAAAAGAAAGAAGGAGCGAGATCGGCCAAGAGTCAGGCGAACAACGAGATCTTCTATCTCGCTGGATTTAATAATTCCACCTCGGCTCGCCTTTGTTAACTCTACAATTATTATTAATGACGATGTACGAGAGGGTCGTGGTCTGGCTCTCGCTCTTTCTCTCTTTCCCAAGTTTCCCTTCTCTGCCGGCGTGAATGTAAATTAATTACTCCCCGGGTCTTTCGCGAAAAACATATTAAGCGCCCCACCTTATTACGGCACGATATTACGGCATAAATCATGACTCACTTACGGATTACTATTTTTCATACGCCCCCTTCCCCCGTGGCTAATCGAAATCCCGAAAATCTCCGGGAGCTGAACCAAATCCGCCGGGCGAATAACGGTTAATGGATTTCGGAATGAAGAGGCATTCGCCTTATCCTGTCGCGAATTACTCGCGGGATTGCTTATCTTTCCACCCTTTTGCGCTTATAAGACCGGTATACCGCGCGTAACTCCAGCGGTACCCGGAAAATTCGAGCACGTCAAAAATCCGTACGAGGCGAGAGCGAA